CCCCCGCCGTCCCCGCCGTTCTTGCTCCTGCTGCTGCTGCTTGGCTTCTCGCCGTCTCTTGGGCTCGCGGTGCTCGGAGGACGAGCAGGAGGCCCACGAGGGGGGCCGCACCGGCTCGGACGCTCGGTTCGGGCAGGATGATGTCGGTTGAGTTGTCACGCTGTCGGGCTCCGACGACGTACCGCCTTCAGAGTTCTCCATGCTGCGCTGTGGCAAAAGCAAAAACGTCAAAGCAGTTGGACCCACCCAAGTAACTCAAACTAAATAATAACTTGTTTCCTTTAGAGTAAGGTGAGTAAAACAAAACAACAAAAATGTTAATAATAAATTCACATTACTTCAGAATAAAACCAAGGTTATTGGCAGATGACAATAATAATGATAATTCAAATAACTCCACTAATACTACTACTTATTATTATTATTATGATGATGATTATTATTATTGATTATTATTGTTGTTGACTTCAGAATAAAATCTGCGTACTTGGTGGGATTTTTTAAAACCTAAAAATAGTGAGTTGTAATATTAAGAATTCATTTTAAAAGTATATAATAATAGTAATGATAATAAAAACACTGTTACTCTATAAGTAATAATACTAATTGGATGAATTGAATCATGCGTTGTAATTTGTAACTATTCGGAAAAAAAATCCACCTGTTGCTGACTATATATATATATATATATATATATATATATATTGTTGTATTATATTATTAATATGATTATTATAAAGGTAAAAATAAAGGCAACTTCAGACTTAGTGCAAAAGCCATCTAAAGAAAGGTTCACGCATCTCTGATTAAAAAAATGGGTTGACCAATGTAAGTCCTACTACAACTGATGATGATGATGATGATGATCTATACGTCATCATCATGCGCCATCCGTCATGGTTAGAAACTATATTTAAAAATAGCTGATAATTTGAAAAGCAGTTGTTGCCTTACTGGCACTTCTTTAACTTATATACAATAGAAATTGCATATATATTTTTTACAAAGACACATGGCCCTAGTAGGCTTATAAAACAAATTTACAAAGTACCGCGCCAAGTCGTGGTCCAACAAACAACCCATGAAATTAAACAATTAGCGAAGCCAAAATGTAAGTCAACAATTCTCTGGCAGCTATCTGAAAACCTCAGAGACACATTAATTGCCTCAACTAGTCTGTTGACCGCTAAATAGCCGGCTAGCCGTTGTTCAGTACGTACCGTAGTTACGGCAATGACAAGCAACAGAAGTTCATAATGGACGACAAGAACGACGTCGTCGGGACGCGGAGCAGCGTCGCAAATCTGACGGGCAATGTGTGTTCTTCATTAACTGTCACCGAGACACACCTGCGTCAAAACAACACCCCAAGTCACATTAGCAAACCGCGTGACGGTGACCGCGAGTCACACGACGTCACGGCGTGATCGTGAGAGCGTGCGTCTCACTCGGGGGTGCTTATTCAGGCAGGATTTGGTGCCTGATGAGTGCAACAGCGCCACTAGTGGTCGTGTGGCGGTTTCATCGAGAATTACGCCCTGATTGAGGTAGAATTGCGGTACCACACAAACAAATGCACTGTACGGAATTATGATACGCCGAATTTATTAACATAAGAGTTTGTGTGTGCGTGTGTGTGTGTGTGTGTGTGTCCGCGCGCGCGTGCGTGCGAGTGCATGTATGTGCGCACGTGCACTTGTGTAGCACATGTGCATTGCATGTACATCCAGTAGATAGAATGTTTGTGGCATACTTCCAGAGAACACACTGTACTTGTGCTCTCCTGTCCAACCCACACACCCTTAAGCAAACACTTTCCATTGTCGGACTTTGTAGTGGGATGCTCCAGATGGGGTCTTTGGCCTCCCAGATGGCGCCCCCCACGGGTTCCATTGAACATTTTGCTCAAAGCAGAGGTGTGTGGAACCTGCGGCCCCGTGGGCCATATGCTTCATTTCCCCTGTTCTCAAATGTGGAGTCTATTTCTGGCTTTGGTTGCCATGGCACTTGCTACTTAAAATCAATCAGGCTTATTGGCAGGAAAAAGTTTTCTCCCCTATGTTTTTGGGAGCTTGTTTGCTGGCCTGGCTGTGCTTCACTGGACAGACAGGAAGCATGTTTTGTACAAAAGGTATTTGGAGTGTGTCCACTCGCTCAGACAAACCACTACTGGGAGGTTTAAATTTAGCAGAAAACGTTGAGAATGGGAATGACATTTTATTTGTAGTTTTGTTTTGTGGAATGAAAAGGACATTTTGATCGGATTACTACCATAGTGTCGCGTGTGACCTGAGCGACCCTGATAAACGGACCTTTGACTTGTTGAAAATAATTTTTGCGGCCCTTTAGGGTATGTGTTTGATACAAATACAATATGTATACTCATAATAATCTTTCGGGGGATTCAATAGCTAACCATCGGGCCTTTGCGGCTTTGATTGAAAGTGAGCGAAATTACTGTAAGTTGGCCCGATTGTCAAAGTGACCTGCGATGTAAAAAAAATTTCACTTTAGTTCTCTTAAGTTGCTAAATATCGATGTGTGAAAATGAGCAGCAGGAGACACGTGTCGATGGCTTAACACTACAGAACTTTACTTGAATTGCATCCAAGTTCATTGTCTCTACACAAGGTCATATGTACAAGGTGTGAAATGAAAATGAGGGTCAAGAACAGGAAAATAAAAAAAAACAAACAAACCAAAAAAAGAAACCACAAACCACAAAGATACGAGAAGTGAGGTATTATAGAGCTAAAGAAGCATTTACAGGTCAGGTCATGTCTGTACTTGTCAATATTAAATGATTGAACAGTTAGAGTGTCCTCTGCATTAAAAAAAAAAACATCTTATTTATATATATCACAACATGAGGTAGGAGATCAGTGTCTCGAGTCATGCAAAGAACAAGTCTCATCACATGGTTATTGGCAATGGTCATATTTATACACGGACACTGCAAGTCATGTTTCAGCATTGTGTGGCGGCGTGGGGGAAGCCACGAATATCTCTCTCTAGATATATATATATATATGTATGGATAGATATATAGATCTTTTTTTTTTTTTTTAAAAGAAATGTATAAATGTACAAAACAGTGTACCTACTTGTCGCTCACCAATGCTAGGAGGGACGACAAAAGCATGCCACCGAATAGGAAAAGAACAGGGGTTCCCAAACTTGCCGATTGTCATTCTTGTCGGGAATTCACATTTCCTGTCTTTTATTTATCATCTTTATTTACAGTATGCGGCGACATTGTGTTAAAACCCCAACAGCGGATATGTCAATGTCATCGTGGCGGACAAACTTGGTACTGGTGTTAATAAAAAAAAAAAAAAATAGAACTGTACAAAAGCATATCTATGTTGTAACACTGCAAAATGCCATCCATCGTTAAAAGAGGTCCCCCCTCTTTAACTTCCCTTTCACTTCAAACAGCAGGCCCCATGTGTAGAAAACGTTGTCTTGTTCGGCTCCGTTACCAACAAAACCAAAAAAATAAACAACACTAATACTGAATATGAATTCAGTGGCGTCAACAGTGTCCAAACGTACAATTACAATGACAGTCTCAGTCTCACACACACAAACACACACGCTGACCTTGAATGAAGCCTTCATCTCAACCCATCATGATTTTCAAAAACTTGCACAGGTTCATGCACACGAGCCTCAGTGGCTCATTATTAGTATTCTACGCGTGGGAGACATTTTATTTTCATGTGTGTGTGTGTGGTCATGTGACAAACATGAGGGGCTGCGAAACATGCATATATGCATATACATATATGCATTTTTTTTTTTTTAACATGTTAAACCTGGCATCACCTATGATCTGGCCTGCCATCAATTCTTAAAAACATCATCGAAATTGTTATGAAAAACATTTGTAATTTTTTTTTTCAGAAATCTATTATGGCCTTTCGTGGATTTCATAGAAAAAGTGACAGGAATGTTTTTTTTTTTTTCTTTCCCCAGCTCAAAAAAAGACCAGGGCAAAGTGTGACGTGAAATATAATTTTCCTCCACATCCACTTGACAAGTCTGCATGTTTTTTGCAAAGATCACAAGCAAAAGCCTTTATCCCCCGGTCCCATTCATATAACCTTCAAAAGATTATCCACAGAAGAAGAGTTCATATATTAATGGCTAGTTTATGTACAAAGTGAATAGAAATCTTTAGTTTAATATTATGTTAAATAATTTCTTTAAAGTACCCCCCCCCCCCCGACCCCCAGCAAGGACTTGACTTGCAACGCTCCGTCTAATCTGCCTTTGAGATGGAACACAGTGGAATGTCTTAGCAATTTGCATTTGTTGCAGATGCATAAAAAGTTAGAAAAGAGCCCCACCTCTTTTTTTTTTTTTTTAAACCTCATTTCAGCCAGTATTTACACACACACACACACACACACACACACACACACACACACACACACACACCGATGACTTTGAACTCCCACGAGGCAATAAAAAGCACATTTTGCCTGGTAACGTGACAAAAAGCGGTGCTCCGGTGCTGGAGGGGCGCTTGTCAAAGTCAACCCTCCATGGGGCGTCGCCCCTCTCATACTTCCTTTCCCGCCGCCGTTTTGTTCAGTCGGGCAGCATAACGATCAAGTAACTGGTGTCACCTTCTGTCCCACATTCAGGTCAAATCAAGGGGCGGGGCTGCAAGCTTGCGTTATTATCAAAAAGCTGCCTTCATGTTCGGCGCAGAAAACAAAGAAAGAAACAAACAAACAAAATAAAACCCTCATTCCTTTCCCAGAGGGATGATGGGGAAAGGGTGGTGATCGGGTGACTCAAGTACCCTGGAAAAAAAGTAGCACAGTGTTTTGTTTTGTTTTGTTTTTCGGTGGACGTGGAAGAATGCCACAGTGGTGCGTGCGGAGGGAGGACGGCTTCGCAGAGCAAGGGGGCGATAGTAGTCGTCCTCCGTTTTCCGTGACATAATTTCACTTTGCTCTCAGAAAAGATGAGCGCTCACCCGTCCGCCAGGTGTGCCGAGGGAATGCAAAACAAGCAGCGCGAATGGTGGTGGCTATCAATTGAAATCACATGCCAAACAAACCAAAAAGGTTTTTAAATATGTTTGCTGAGAGCAGAAGAAGGATTACCAATAATAATAATAATAATAAAAAAGACAAAACTCTTCTTTGTTAAATTACAAAAGTCCTACAGTGAAAGCAGAAGAGGGCTGCCGTTTACTTTGGGACCTCTGAGAAGGAGGAGGATGAGGACGGGGAGGAGGAGGAGGAGGCGGGCGAATGGGCGTTGGGGGGCCCGGTAGACGGGGTAAGGGGAGGCGAGGGGCTGCCCCCGGCGGGGACGGCGGCGCCCGACTGGGCCATCTGCTGCTTGAGCTGGGCGATGGTGCGCTCCAGGTTCTCGCGCGCCTCCCGTTCGCGTCTCAGCTCCTCCTGCAGCTCCTGCCGGTCGGCCTCGGCGCGTTCCAGCCTCTGGCGAAGATCCGACAACTGCGAAGAGACCGCGAGGAGGAGATCTTAGCAAGGGAAACCTTGGGAATAACACACAGCAAGCGCACAACGTTGTTCACACTGGGCTGACACGGAGCCAGAGATGGATGGCATGTGGAGACGGGAAGATCAAAAACAAGCAAAACATGAGGGGTGCAACTTGTATACAGTGGTGCCCAGCCTACAAGCTTACCTCACATCATGGTTTGATTAAAAAAAAAAAAGGAGTGGAATGACCTCGTTTCATAGACTGTATTGTGCACATGTGGACATGACGGGCTATCCGTTGAGCACCTTGGCAAAGTACTTTGCTAACCAAAACCGGAACACCAACAGAGGCACGAAATCCGTCTCTCAGCGAAGCGAACTATGACCTTAAAAATCAAGCCAGGCACCGAATCAGAGCGAGACACCCTCGAGTCAAGTATCTTATTTCATTCACTCAATGAATAAAGGACATATCTGTCGACTTTAGCATCCGACCACCTCGGTCCGACACGCAGCGTGGGTGGCATCATACCTGCGCGGCGTAATGCGCCTGCTGCTGGCGCTGAGCAGCGGGTTCGCAAGCGCACGTCTGCTGCCGAAGCTGCTCCAGACGCGTCTCCAGCTCCAGCTGCTCCCGGCGGGCCTGGCCGAGCTGACGCGCCTGCTCGCTGTGCGCCGCCTCCAGCTCGGTGCGCAGCTCCCGCTGCTCGGCGCTCAACTCGCGGAGCCGCGCCGCCTCGCCGCCGCGCAACGCCTCCAGCTCCTGCGGGCAAACGGATCCGCAAAGAAAGGACCCAAAAGTCAGGAGTAATAAGACGCAGGAAGCCGAGCATTTGGGCCGTTTCCAGAGGTCCTTTATAGACTTAACTTTGGCTTCGGCCTCCGGTGCTCGTTTGACTTAGCAACATGAAATTTGGTTGGCCTGTCTTCTGAAAAGACCGACCAAAAAGTGTCAAGAAGCCATGACAGAATAGACACAAAGGGCTCGATTTTCGTAGGCAGCATTTTGAGCTTGGTGCAGGTGCAAGCCTCTTTTGCCATGTTTAGGAATTTGACAGGGCACGGTGCGCCATGACGGGGAATTTCTTTTTGTTATTTTTGAATCGACCCCTGGTGCACCTGCCAATTTGGTGACGAAAGGCAAACTCATCTTGAGACCGACTAAAGGCAGGTCAAAGTTGCGGGGCAGGTGATAGAACACGATTTTGGTGGGTTTGATTGAGGTGTAGGCAGACGGATTCTGATCTTCAGGGATGTCTGCTGGATGTCCGCCTATTGCATTCATATAGATGAGAACAGTGCGCATCGAATCCTCCGGATCAGTACTAGAGGGAATTTAACGACCAAATCAATTCCTTGAATGCTTTCAACATATTTTGAAAAGTGATTCTGACTTGAACCGAGGAACCCGGTGAGTCCATTTATCCGAGTGGGCTTCATTTCTCACCATCTCCAGTTGGAGCTGCTTGTGCAGGGTGGAGTTCAGCTTCTCCTGCTGCCTGCCGTACATCTGCACGATCTCCACTACGATCCTGTCCTTGTCGTCCTCCGGCCCGCCCAACGTCATGTTCACGGCGCATCCGGCATCTTCGTCCGCCGCCTCCGTCACGGGCGGCGGCGATGCGGGATGAAGAGGGGAAGGAGGAGGGCTGTGGGAGCGGGCGGCTATCTTGCCGCTCAGGCTGCTCGTCTCCATGGAAACTGCCTGGGCTTGGCATTCCCGCTCGGCAGCGTGTTGGGATTTGGCCTCCTCAGCCAGCGGAGGCGACGCGTGGAGATCTGAGGAAGAGGAGCGGGATGAAGAAGAGTGTTAGCGAAGGGGGGGGGGGGTAGCAATTGCGGACTGTCGTCTATGCAGAAAACGATCGTCTTTACGGCAAAATGGGGATTAGGGGGAGGCCAATGCAGCATCTGGCAACTTGTCCCGTCACTTTAAATAAGGGGTGCCACACATTTCTTCTTCTTTTTTTTTTGTTTTTCAAAAGAGACTGGGCATGGACAGAAAAAAAAATGTACCAAAGTGACATGCAGAGGTACAATTGTTATGTTGTAATCGTGTCATCTTATTTTATAATTTGACATAAATCAATACACATACACACAAAAAAAAAAAATCTGATTTAGGATACGTTAATGCAACAAATATTCCAGGACTCTTAATGAACGCGCTTTGTGGGGCGGATTGAAGAACGGAGCGGGCTGCCATACTTGGGCAAAGTGCTTGGCCTCTTTAAAATGCATCTGGAGAGGCATCAAAAGACGCATCTTGTTTTGCTTGCCTTTTATTCACATCGTGTGTATGTGTGTGTGCGTGACAGAAATAAATAGCGCATACAGTACATGCGATACACAAATAGCAGTGAGTCGCTCTGATGGATCAAAAGGAAGTAGGATAGCAAACGAGTGGAAGTTACACAGCAAACGGAAGGAAGGGGGAAGAAACAGACAGCAGACTTTTCAAAATTCAACCCCCAAAGCCAGTTTCCCTGACCAAAAATGAAATTCGGTTAGCGTGTCTATTATGAGTAGATGTGGGGGGAGTCTAAAAAAGGCAGGCCGGAAAAGATGCAGGAAGTCTGTTTTTTTTTTTTTTTTGTGTGTGGAGCATCCTCCTCTCATCTTTGGAAGATTCAACCCCGACACGGTTTCACTGAGCAATATGAAATTTGGTATGTCTGTCGTGAGTAGACGCACAAAAAAAGTCCGAAGAACCCGAGGCCGAAAAGACAAGGAAAAGTTTGAAGAAGCCATCCTTGAAAAGTCACAGAAAGTGGCCATTTTAGCATTTGCGGGACAAGAGGAGGAGTGAAGAAAGTGACAGCGTGGGAGGCGGAGAAGCGGACAAGAGAAAAGGATGGAAGGAGAAAACCCTCACAGAGAGACGGGCTGGGATGGCAAACGCATTTCTGTGATGACTATTAATGCAAACACGCCCCCACACATTTGTACTCGAAACACACACTGCAGAAGAAGTGCAGAAAAGGAGGTCACCACCACCACCCCCTTTGCTCATCAATAGTGAGGTGAAGTACCCCCCCGGCATCCCCCTCCCCTCCCAAGTCTTTAAGTGAAGGTCAGCACACGATTATGTGCATGGCTGCAGGCGCGTGTGTGTGTGTGTGTGTGTGTGGTTTCCTGTTTATGGTGCACACGTGTCCCTTCCATAAGCACGCTCGTCTCTCCCGGTCACGTCGTAAGAATGTTAATAGCTTGCGCTAGCTCCTCTCTAAGTGTGTATGTATTTACAAACACGCCGCACTCTAGCAGTACACCGCGAGCAAGCAGACTTCTGACTGACATACATGATTGCAGCTGTAGGCTCCACTTGATATTCAATCTCAAAGGGCATCCGTTCCTCAAACCGATAAGTTCAATAAATGCTCAAATAGACGCTTCCCTTTTAACATCTTGGAAAAAAAAATTCAATCAAGTTCATGTTTTGGATTTTCTACTCTTATGGTACCCAATGTAAACCAGAACCGTAGTGTTGTTTTTAGGCGAAGCATTAAACCGCTTCGTTCTCATGAATGACAACTGACCCATGGGAGGCTCGTCGTGGTGCGGCGCTCCTCGGCCATATTGATGTTTGAGCAGCGCGCCGAGTATCTCGGGGCTCATCTCTGCCTCCCTGCGCAGGGACACGTTGGGAGCCACCATCTTATCGTACGTGTACAGGTAGTAGCTGGAGAAGACAGAGGAAAAAAAACAAAAACCGAGAGATGAAACACTGATATACACTCTGAGACAGCTTTAATGAATTCCGTTTGTTCATAATTGACCGACTGCGGCTTTTTGTTACCCTACTCATCATCGCGAGCAAGCAATGTCACCTTTCATGGTCTCATAAAACCTTCTGAGTTATGGACTTAGCGGGGATGATATGCAACATATACGCGAGCCGTAATTCACGCTGCGCGCGCCATAAAACTCACGCTAGCGCTGAATATTGGGGTAGCTCTTATCTTGTATTTACACCGACTCCGCCTAAACAGACCTTGGGCTTATCACAAACGTCCAGGTGGCACTATCTGCTTCTTTACTCGTGAAGACCCCCCCCCCCCATCATCCCAAGACCCCCTCCGGACAGAGCTGCGGCTGGCACGGCGAACTCGGTTAACCAGAGAAGTACAACAGTGGCAACCCAGGCCTGACTGAAAAAAATGCACACCCAGCTGATTGTTGACAAGTGCAACGCGGATGGACATCAAACGTTGCGCTAAGTGCTGCGGAGGTACCGCGAGACGTTCATGATGGCTAACTGCCGCAGACGTGCTGGCTACAAACTGGCGCAGGCTGTTGTGGGGTCAGCACGTCACGCAAGTCCCACGCTGGCTAGGCTCGGTCGGCCATTTCCACTTCTTTTTAATCTGCGTGGAATTACGCTTCAATGCAAGGTGGTGAGAAGGGGATGAGGCCAATTGGAATGACATCATGTGATGTCAGTGAGTTTTCTTTTTTTTTTTTTTTTTTGGGGTGGGTTCTCTGCAAAATAAAAAAAAAACATGACTCTGTTTTGCAGGATTTGTGTGAAAGAGACCGTAGTGAAGTTATAACCAATCAATCAATTTCATATTTGATGAAGATCAGTGAAGTCGTACATCAGTCGTTATCGTGGTTCTGATGTCAAAATTGCGCACTCGTCCATTTAGTGGACAGCTCGTCAAAAGTTGTGAACTTCTGTAGACTGTTTTATATTGATACCATCCATATGGCACAAGGACGGAAAAAAAAAGTATTTTTTTGGGCACTTTACAAGGACTCGAAAAATACCAGAGCATTTCTATGTTGTAGTACCTCGGGTGGACCAGGGCGGGGTGTCCCGGCTCCTCCTTGATGTCCGGGAAAAGCTGATTGTACACCACGGTCGGCGACATCTTAACCTGTGGTACAAACAAACCGATAAAAACATACGCTTTTGAATAGAGGAATGATTACGACGAGTGACGAGATGCGTGTAAGCGCTACGTGGAGACACGAAACAGGAAATGGGCTTCACTGTCAGAATTGTAATCTAATAGAAGTAATACATGCTGCCAGGAGACAAGGATGAGGGATCACCTGCTGAACACTAAGTAAGTGTGCATTTGCGTGTGTGTGTGTGTGTGTGTGTGTGTGTGTGTGTGTGAAGAAAAAGAGATAGTGATGATAAAGAGCTTCGAAGAGCATCTCTGCAGCTGTGTTATTGTGTGTGTGTGTGTGTGTGTGTGTGTGGTGGTTTTTGTGTGTGTGTGTGTGTGTGTGTGTGTGTGTGTGCTTCCTGACAAGTTGTACTGAGGAGACACGCCATCAGAAAATGAGCGGCTCGTGTGTGTGCGCTTGGCGCATGGTAGCCGACCCAGAGAGCTGACCCGCATGTACGAGAGGGCGGCAGGAGCAACCATGGGAGCCAAGAGACACGTTACCCACCATGGAAAAGGGGGGGGAGTGCAAGGGGGCGACTGACCTTCCTCGTGGGCTCGGTTTCAGCCAGCTTGCCGCTGGGGGGGCAGAGGTCTGCAGAGGATTTGCGCGCTTGGTTCTCCTGGTCTTCATCTGCCGCAGCCGTCTTCTGGAAGGGAGAAGAAGGGGGCACGTCAAGGTTAAACGAGACGGAAATGGACAAGTGGAATCCCAAAGTGAGATTTCGTATTCATTTGGAGCAACATTTCTTCAAAAAAGAAGTGTCTAACGTGTCAGTCCTGTTGCCAAACTTGTGCATCAGCCACTACGGCGGGCATCTCATCAAAAGCTGATTCTTAGGCCCGACTTTTTTCTCGCCTTACATATGCTGACCCGTGGTTGGCGCAGCTCTGGAGGAGACACTCGTGCTCACTGCCATGACTGATGCGTATCAAGACATCAGGACCTACCTCTGCATCTAAATTCTCGATGCAAACAGCTTTTAAATAGCTTTCCCCTGTAGTGTCGGATGTACAACTTTGGACATCAAGACTCATCATGCCGTGAGCCCGGTGACCGCCGCCGGTGACGTCATCAAAGCGCGGATAGAAACGATGCTGACGGCAGTGCGGGAAAAGTAGAAAGACAATATAGAGACAAACACCTTTGAAAATGGAGGACGGAGGAACTAATGACATCCAAGAGATGGAAAATGGAGACCAATGTCATTGGGGGGGGAAAAAAAAAAACAATGAGCGAGGCGTACGGGAGCGAGCGGGACCGCCGAGGAAGCTTTATATGAATAAAAGAGGAGCAAAGCCGACACGCGCTGCCATTGCGCGCTGGTGTGCGTGTGATTCATTGCTAGGCGGGCCACAACGCAGCTGGGAGTCTCTCTCAATGTGAGGATGCGCTATATATTACACACTATAGATGCCAGTGTGTGTGTGTGTGTGTGTGCTTGAGCTTTATGATTCATTATGTCAGCTTCTTAGCCTGTGTGGTGTGTGTGTGTGTGTGTGTGCGCGCGCTTAGTAAATACGAGCGCCATTGCCTCTGCGCATGTGTGTTTTCAGCAAATCCAGGGCAGGCTCAGCAAGGGGCTTGATGGAGCTGATGCTCAAGGCTCCACCCTAGAATACAACTAAAATAAAGCAAAATGACCCTCAAAATAGGCTTGGCAGACAGGTAACGCAGAGTGAACAGGAATGACTCATCGGCATCGCTACGCGCTATTTACATCAGAACCGACTCGGTGAGATTATGGAGGGCCCGAGCATGAGCACAAAAACCCAGGGTCAAAATTGTGCATCGGTCCCTCGAGTGTTTGGCAGCTATCTGGAAGCTGTTTTCCGCTTTGTGTACAATTTTGATGTCATGGTAAGTCCCAACAGCTGCTCAAAAGTTGCTTGCATCTCCATGCATGAGTCTTGCTGTCCAAATGATACATCGGTCAGGATAATAGGCAACTCTTGTGAAATGTTCTTTTCGGAGCCATTGTCCCTCATAGCTCAGAATGCCACTAAATACGTTTGACAAGCAGGTAGCAGCCACCTGACACGCGAGCTGACGGATAATCCGTCTTTGTTTTACAGATTATGGTAACAGCACGGGGATAACCCATTCTCAATTGCGAGTCGCAAAATGTCATTGTTTTTCTTCCAGTCACGGTCGGCCCGCGTCGTGCTCTTATGAGAGATATGATCCTAGCTGCACGCTTACTGATCCTAGCAGTCTCTGCTCATTGGTGTCAGATGTTAATTAAAAAAAAAAAAAAAACAAAAGGAAAGGAAAACAATCATGTCTTTGTAATGTGTGCGTTGTCAGGGATAGGAACGTATTTACAAAGACGCACTCGAATGAGTGCGTGTTTGCACATGGAACAGCCTGGAGGCAAGAGCACAACCAGGTGTGTGTGTGTGTGTGTGTGTGTGTGTGTGTGTGTGTGTGTGTGTGTGTGTGTGTGTATACGTGCAGAGCGAGGGGGCTCGTCTGTTTATGTTGGCTCCCGATTGGCTGGATTCTTTTTTTCTTCCCTACTGCAGCAACAGAGAGGATGGGAGGGGGAGGGCGGGAGAGACTCGGGCCCGGAGACTGACGGAAAATGACGGTGAAGCCACTGCAGTGGTGCCTCGTAGAAGCAGACCGGTATGTGCGTGTGCGTGTGTGCGTGAGGCGAGAGGTGACAAAAAACAAGAGAAGCAGAAGCACGGGATGTTAATGACAGGTCGTCGGCAGTCGTTTCTCTGCTTGACCCTCATGACAACGCACGGTGTGCTGATGAGACGGCCCATTAAAGTGCACACCTGCGTGCGTGCGTGCGTTGTGTGCGTGCGGTCTTTAGGAGTAAATGTCACATGACATGCGAAGGACACCGGGGCGCGTCTTCTAAGGACCGCTTGAAGGTTAACGCCGGCTGTTGACTGGCTGATCGAGCTTTACTGCACAACTGATTAAAAACATGCGATTTGGCCTTCTGTGCTTTTGAAAGGTATTGTGGGGGGGGGGGGGGGGGCAGAAAGCTGTAATGCGTATGACGGGTTGGTGAAGGCCATTACTGTAGTGACGGTCAGGATTAGTCTTTGACGTTTCTATGAAAGACAACAAGTGGGAATTAATCAGTTGCATGACTTGCCGGCAACAGATAACAAGACACGGCTTTCTGCGTGCCGAAATGTATTTTGACGCTGATTTTTTTTTTTAAAAATGCCTTCTTTTTTTTCCCTTGCACATCAGGTTTTCGAAGTGCTTTCATTTTTCTTCTGAAGATTGCACGTTATGGATGTCTTCATATACGTTTATTTCGTTTCTAGAATCGGCGATCGTGACGACATCAGCCATTAGCATTCAAATCGGGGCGGTCGGAGCGCACGCCGGCTTGACGTTGCGGAAACAGAAATAGACTTGCTGGGGTCTGTGAATGACATTGGAATATCAACTACAAGACCCCCCCCCCCGCACCCTTGCAGATGATGTAGTCGGCCCTGGATGTGATGTGGGCAATTGGAGACCACCTGGCACCCACGATTGTGCATCCGTGTATGTAAATGTGGGATGAGTTTGAAAATGAGCTCGGTCCAGGTAACCAAAGACGGAAAACAGAGTGAAACCAATTAAAACCAAAAAAAAAACTTGAACACTGTATTGTCACTGCCCTATGATACATCGCAACATCAAAACTTTGTCCCGCTGGTACGTACGTCTATGAATGCAGACATGACCCAAATGTTTTGGTTTGTCAGTTACCATGCAGTCGGCGTTACATCCTTGCATATGGATAAATGCTGGAGAGATATTCACGTGCATGTACGCTCTTGGCTAATGGCTACTGGTGTGATTCCAGTTTGTGATGACAGTTGACGGACAGCTCAACGCCCACCACCCACTCGCCCTCAAACCCACGAGCGCGCAAACACCGCTAATGCTCATTATTCCCGTCGGTCTGTGCTGGCTTAATGAGTGTGCCTGCGAACCTCAACACAACTGTCTCGCTCGAGCGTTGTTGCCCGTCGCTCTCTCACCGCCTTCCCCCCCCCTGCCATGCCATGTTTTTATTAACAAACACCATGTTGTGCTAATCTGCCATAAAGTAGCACCTCTCTTATGTGGGCTGCTAACAACATACACACAACCCCCTTCGCGCCACTCTCACGCACACACACACACGCACACGCACACGCACACGTATGTCTCCAGCCCTTTTGTGAGGCCAAACCTCGCCTTGTGACAATGTGGATTAGCATTCCACACACTCGCTTGGCTGAACTCTGCCCTGTTGGTCCTAATCACCAGCAGTCTGCCTGCCTGCTGCTGCAGTCACACACACACACACACACACACACACACACACACACACACACACAAACACGCACACACACACACACACACACACACACCCACACACAC